TATGATGATGAAAGTGATGAATATGAGACGTTTGATCAGTTTGTGGAGAATGAGAAGCAGTTACAGAGGGACCAATTTTATTCCGACAGGCAAGTTTCAGAAAAAGCAGTGGGTGATTGGATTCTCGTGAAATTTGCTGGAAAGAAGTCCATTAAGTATTATGTCGGTCAAGTACTACAAGGAAACAACATGGTGAAATTTGCCAGGAAAAAAAAGATCTTAGACAAAAAATCTGTCTTTAAGTTTCCGGATATAGATGACATTTCTGAGGTGGATGACCCGGATATTATAATGCTGTTGCCTCCTCCCACCATCGAAAGAAGAGGCCAAATCTCTTTCCAAGTCTCATTTGATGGGTATGACATACAATAAAGCATTTGTCTTCTTATATTATGTTCATTTACATTGAAAATAAATGTAAACAATATTTGGCGTGTTGTTTCATTTTCACGTTTGGGTTGATATCTCGGAAACTAATAAAGATATCCATGTTCTGCAAAATCGAGAAAAAAGGTAAAATTTAGGGTAAGGCGCAGTTGCCCCGGTTTGCCGCTGCTTGCTATCAGATTCGTTTTAGCTATAGGAAACGCACTTGCCCCGGTTAGCGGGGCAAGTGCGCCCCTATGACATTAAAAAAAAAAAAAAAATGTCATCCACTATAAAACGTAAATATATGATGTTTAATAACAGATTTTACTTGAATATATTACCAAGTTGCCATATAAAAATACACAACACGAAAACTCATATAGGTACATTTTGAACATGAATTAATTCTGAACCCATTAATTTAGGGGGTGCGCTTGCCCCAACTGACCTTACTGTAGTAGGATACAGCGATGAGGTAAAAGGTTACCGAATTTATTTTCACTTACGAAACAAAGTAGAAATTCATTGCGATGTAGTTTTTATTCCAAAAAATCAGAAGTTTCAAGAAAAAGACCAAAACTACAATGACAGATTCAGAGAAAAATTAGTTACAATGGATATCAACAATGAAAGTCAAAGTGAAGATGAAGATAATCAACAAGCAGAAGAAAATATCAATCCCCAGAACCAAGACAACCAAGATTTAGACCTAAAACAAGAAGATGACCGAGAAGATGACATTGAAAACAATTTTGACGAAACCCCAGATCAAGCCTCAGATGAAAGTGACGATGAAGCTCAGACATCAAGGATACAAACAGATAGACGAGGAAGAAAAATCAAACCGCCATTATGGCTAAAGGACTATGATACCCGAGATGACACCGATTGTTTTTCAGCAGTAGTGGACAATATAACATTTGAAGAAGCAATGAATAGTGATAGTGCGCGAATGTGGAAAAAAGCCATTGAAAATGAGCTTAGTGTTCTGAAAAAAAATAATACTTGGACTGAAGTGCCATGGCCAGAAAATAAAAAAGTAATTGACAGTAAATGGGTACTAAAGATTAAAAATGACGGTCAATACAAGGCCCGTTTGGTCGCCAGGGGTTTTCAACAAAAGTGTGATGACAACTTATATGACATTTATGCTCCGGTAGCCAAAGTGAGTACCTTTCGAATTCTTGTAGTAGTAGCTAATAAGTTCAAATTGCCAGTTTATCAGATGGATGTACAAGGTGCTTTTTTATATGGGGACAAATTTAAATGAAGTTAATGATCTAAAACATGAATTCAATAGAAATTTTGAGATGAAAGATTTAGGCATAGTTCATAATTATTTGGGGATTAAAGTTTCACAAAATTTAAGTAAGGGGTTTACTGAATTAAATCAATCAGATTATTTAACAAAAGTTCTTCAAAAATTCGGAATGTTAGATTGCAAATCCGTAAGCACCCCCTTAGATGTAAATTTCGATTTTAATATTTTCAGAAATGATAGTGGCAATGAAGATTACATTAAATTGTGTAGACAAATAATAGGAAGTTTAATGTATGCGGTTCTAGGTACACGGCCAGATTTATCATATAGTGTAATAGTTCTGAGTCGTTGTTTGGAAACAGCAAATGAAAGTCTGTTTGTGGCACTTAAGAGAGTCCTTCGTTATATCAAGGGGACCTTGTACCTAAAACTGAAATACTGTACCGATAGTGACAATGTATTATGTGGTTATGTGGATTCTGATTGGGGAGGTGACATAGTCGATAGAAAATCAACTACAGGATATCTCTTTAAAATCTTCAATTGTCCTGTTTTATGGGCCAGTAAAAAACAACAGAGTGTGTCAATTTCCTCAACGGAATCTGAATATATTGCTTTATCTATTGCTGTTGGTGAAGCCTGTTGGTTGAGGAAGCTTTTGATGGATTTTAATATTCAAATAGAATGTCCAGTCACTATTTACGAGGATAATCAATCAGCAATAAGTATCACAAATAATCCTGAAAATAACAGAAGATTAAAACATTTAGACATAAAGTTTTTCTTTATTAAAGAAAAGATTGAGCAGGGCTTGGTGAATATATCATATATCAATACTCAAGATCAAGTAGCTGACATATTCACCAAACCACTGGCAAGAGTCAAAATTTTGAATTTTTTAAATGATTTGTGCCTTAATAATTAAAGTTAACAGTTTATTTTCTTAAAATGGTTAAGGTAGGAGTTTGGGTTCAAAATGTAAGGTTACAAAATAATTTTATTGAGGGGGCGTGTTGCTAGTTGCTCTGATAACAATAAAATTGTTTTGTGAATTTAATATTAGTTAAAGCTGACAACACTGCACATATGTCAATTTGAATTTAAAAAACAGCTGGTGTATGTCAAGTCAAGTACCTCGTTTGGAGGGAGCAGGCAGTCAGTTGGCTGTTGAATGTTTTTGCCTCCAAGAATATTTTTCTTATTTTTCAATAAAAAACCTAGTTAAAAGTTGTCTGGATTATTATTTCTTTGCTGGCAATATCCATTGCGCTACAACACCCTAACCCTTTTAATTTAAGGAGGCCACTGGCCTCCCATATAAAGCTTAGTACTCATAACTGCGAAATTCGCATTTTTTTGACATTGCTTCGACAATTTGACGTTTGATACACGCATGAAACGTCAACTGGTCAACGCAATGTCAAAAAAATGCGAATTTCGCAGTTATGAGTGCTAGGCTTAACAATGAAAGAACATTCATATTCTCAGAATATTCCCTCAAAGTGCTTTTTGGAATGTTCATTTAGGAATGTTTAATAAATATTCTTAGATTGTTTCCATTGAAATATTCATTTTTGGACGTTCTATTTATGTACTAGGAATGTTGCTTCTATGCACCTACCTGAAAGATTGTGCTAAGAACCTACTTTATATAACATTATCTGAATCTTGTCACACGAACATTTTTATAATGTACCCTAAAAAATGTTCTTTCGGTTAATCTTCGATGTCGTCACACGTCACACTAGTAAAGTCAGTTTTGTACGATAAAGTCATGCCAAAAACGATAATTTGGTTTTGGTAATCTGGCAACACTGGTTCGGCTTGACAAAACGGAGTTGGAGCGGATAGAGAGCAGTTTCATAGTCACGTGATCACAGAGTGAAAAACTTAGAGCAGGTAAAGGTAAAGGAGTAGTAACCTGGATTTGGAAAATGAAGCCGTTTTTTTCCAGGTATTTTGGCCCACAAAAAATGGCGGTTATGGCAATTCAATGCTTTACCTGTATCTTGGTGCCAAACACCTGCCAAAAACTTGGCTTCACTTTAGTTTCATAAGCAGAATGGCGCGTTCCTACTCCTTATGTCCGTAGGACAGCGCTTTACCTGCTCTAAGGTGAAAAGAGTAAAATAATTAGCCGAACGCATCGCAGGGAGTAAGGTTAGTTGCCGCCCGTGATTCGCGAATGTCGTGCGCGAAGGGGTTGCCAACTTTGTTTTTTCATTTTTCTGGACGAGGGTAATGAAATATCAGGACATACGTTTTACATTTTTATTACTGCAAAAAAAAAATACCATTCACAAACTTAAATAAACAATTCGATAAAAAAAAAAACATATTATCTATTCACAATCCGATGTCCAAAAGTTAAGGTAAAATTTATCACCTTTCAGTGCTATTTGATAGGGAACGGTGATAAATTTACCTTTACCTTTGGACTAGGTACGGATTGTGAATAGGATATACTGATGCACTAAAAAAAAATGTCTAACAAGAATTCTTTGGGTAAATAGGAACTGATAATTTAAAATTTTATTTCAAAAGTACCTAAGATTAACAAATCATTTAAAGAAATTTAACTATAAACCAGAACCAGATTTATAGCCGGCTGAATTTGACAAAATTCTTCATTAGGTTAAAAATTAAGTACAATAGGCGTCCTGCAATAATAGGTTGCTACAGGACGCTGGACAATGAACCCCAAATGGTGGACGTCCACCGAAATGCAGGACGGTTGGCAACCCTACGTGCGCGTTTGCGCAAAGATGTTCAGTATAGCATTACATAAATTACGGAAAATAGGTATAGTAATTTCAAAAAAAAAAATTGAAAAAAATTACGTAAATTGGATAATTACATGAAACTATAGGAATCAATCAAAAATTGCGAAAATTTCGAAAAAACATTGTGGAAGCATGTCATATAAAAATGTTTAATTTTAAAAATCTTGTAATATTGTTATTCCTTGTTCAATCGATTCCAATTTTCAGTATATTTTGTCTCAAACACTAAAAATATTTCCTCAAAATCACATAATTTCGCTTTGAGGTAGTTTAGGGGTAAATCAAAGTTTCTAATTAATTTTCCTTTAAAATTTTTAGTAACTCTTTCGCCTATGTACATAGAAAACTCCTTCGTCAATATGTCGAAAAAACTAGTAAATTACATTGAAAACTCCTTCGCCAACATGTCAAGGCGACAGAATCTTTAACTAAAAATAAAATGGAAAACCCAGCCAACCATTATAATGTTGGTATTGTTTCCTCAATAGTAACAATGGTAACCGAATGGGTTGTTGATTATTTTCAACGCGGACTTTATTCTTGAACCTGAAAGGTTGAAAATTGGTTGTTCGTGAATATTTTATTGGTAGAAAAATTGGGTTTTGGAATAAGAGCCCTTTGGGACATCCGGGTTTGATCAATTTCCGGGATAAATAAAAATAAAGAGCCAGTCAATTCGAAAGGCAATTTTGTGTGTTATTGATGGGCTTTTAAAAAAGGGAGTCGAGAAAAATGGAGGTAAAATGTTTTGTTTTCACTTATCTCGAGTTTTTAGTCTGTAACATTTCCTCAATCAACGATAAAACTACGTCATGATTTTTGAAACTTTTGTTATTTTTGAAATTTCCAATTTTTTTTTTTTAAATCTAGTGTAGTTTCTCTTACTTTATTTAATGTAATAATTTTTGTAATTTTTATAATTTTTTTAATTTCTGCAATTCCTTTAATTTTAGATATTTTCTCGTAATTTTCAAAATTTTTTAATAAATTTCTATATTTTTTCCGTAATTTTCTTTTTTGCTTTGTAAAAATTAAACTGATTCAGAAAAATATTTCTGAGTCAGATATCAGAAGCTCAGAAAAGTTAACATTTTTTTTTGTTTTGATTATAAAATTGTAGGCCCGATAAAATGATTTTTCGAAAAAAATGAAGGGAGAGGAAATTTGGATTTTGATTGCGGCAACCGGATTTCTGAGTCCTACTAAGACCGTTGAAGAAAATTCGGAATTTTCCAGTTTGGAAGTGGCCAGATTGGCCACCAACGTCTACGGAACAGGTAAATTGTAATCTATCTTTATTTTTGGTCTCAGAAATTCAACTCAGAATTTTTTTTTTGTGGTTTCAAGGTCAACATTAAATTTCAAATTTTTAATACATATTAAAAAACTAAAAAAAATTAACCCAGATTTTCATAGAAAATGGCTTTTGATAATGGCGTGTTTTCGTGCATTTTCCATTGAAATGTAAACAATAAATTTGCCCCCATTAAACGTCAAAATAATGGGGTTATTGGCCCTCATTTTCCATTAGGAAAATTGGAAAACTTTCGTGGAAAGCACCGATTAAATTATCGATTCAACAAATTTCTATATTTATTTTGTAGATAAAGTTTTTAGATATTTTTCTTTTTTTAAATTTTTGTATTTCTCAAAGTTTCCAAATGGAAAAATCTTAAATTTTCAATTTCTGAGTTGAATTTTTATGAAATTTTAAATTAGTATTTCTTAATCTTGAAAGTATTCGAATGCTATTTTTTTTTCAATTATATTCTAAAGCGTAAACTATTGGAGGCGTCTGAACGATGAAAAGCTTACAGTCCTATTAAGAAATGGCTTTTTAGTCGTAAAATATTTCTGATCTATAAAGAATTTCTGATCCATAAAGGGCTTCTGAGCTAAAGAACTCTCAATTTCTAGAGTATTTTTTTGAAAACTTAAACGATCCAAAAATCCGAAATTTTTGATTTCTCAATCTTCTCAGTTGAATTTAAAATTTTCCAGAATTTCTCCTCCTAGAAAATTCCCACTACACGGACCAAACTGGCTCGTACAAATTCGAAGACTTTTTTTGGACGGGATCCGGCGACGGACCAACGACGGACGAAGACACCGCTTGGATTTTCTCAGAAGGACCCGCCGTCGTCTACAAAACCTCTACAGTCGTCAGCACCGTTTTCGTAGAAGCGACATCTACACTATCGAACAATGAGGTAAGATTTTTTTTGCAAAAAAGGGGTTTCTGAGCAATGAAAAAAAATTCTGAGCTATAAAAGACTTCTGAGTTATAAAAAATTTTCTGATGCAAAAAAGGCTTCTGAACAATAAAAGACTTCTGAGTCATGAAAAGTGTTTAAAATATAAAGAGCTTCTGAACAAAAAATATTTTGTGTCAAAACAATCTTCTGAGCTATAAAGGACTTCTTAGTCATAGGAAAAGTTTCTTTGCTATGAAGGACTTTTCTGAAGTTTCTGAACTATAAAGGACTTCTGAGCTATAAAAAGACTTCTGATCCCATAAAGGGTTTCTGAGTTAATTTTTTTATAAATTTTTCAGTCGACCAATTGCAGCTTCAATTGCCGCCCTCCCACCGCATCGATCACCCCCACCCCAACCCTGTCTACAGCCAATCAACAGTTTTGGCTGTTGACAGTTCTACGCAACGATGACGGAAGAAATCCGATCTTAACCGAAATCCAAAACAGCCTGGCGAGGCTGTACAAGATGGCGTTTCAACGTCAACAGGCGAGGCATCTGAAGCTCAGAAGCAAACGATCGGATCAGAACGATGTTGAAGTTTTCGTTCATGAAATCAACGAAAATCGGGAAAATATTGAGATTTTGTATCATGTAGAGGTGCAAGGGAAGGCTGTAGACGCGTCTACAGCCGCCAACGACATGAAGTTAGTCAAAGACGACGAAGTCCGACGAGAGTTGGGATTTTTGTTTGATATCAAGGCCGAACGTAAGTCAAAATTCTTTTTTTTTACGTTTTTGAAATTTTTGACATTTTTGACATTCTTGACATTTTTGACATTCTTCACAAGCTAGAGATTTTTGACATTTTTGATATTTTTGACATTCTTAATATTTCAGAGATTCTTAATATTTTTGACATTCTCGACATTTTTAATATTTTTGAAATTTTTAACATTTATAACATTTATAAAATTTTTGACATTTTAAAAATGTCGAAAAAAAAATTTTTGAAGTATTTAAAATTTTTGAAATTTTTGAAATTTTTGAAATTTTTGAAATTTTTGAAATTTTTGAAATTTTTGAAATTTTTGAAATTTTTGAAATTTTTGAAATTTTTGAAATTTTTGAAATTTTTGAAATTTTTGAAATTTTTGAAATTTTTGAAATTTTTGAAATTTTTGAAATTTTTGAAATTTTTGAAATTTTTGAAATTTTTGAAACTTTTGAAATATTTGAAATATTTGACATTCTTGACATTTTTAACATTCTTAATATTTTTGACATTCTTGACATTTTAGAAATTTTAGAAATTTTAGAAATTTTAAAAATTTTGACATTCTTGACATTCTTGACATTTTCAACATTTTTGATATTTTTAACATTCTTGACATTTTACAGATTTTTTACATTTTTGATATTTTTGACATTTCTGAAATTTTTGAAATTTTTGAAATTTTTGAAATTTTTGAAATTTTTGAAATTTTTGAAATTTTTGAAATTTTTGAAATTTTTGAAATTTTTGAAATTTTTGAAATTTTTGAAATTTTTGAAATTTTTGAAATTTTTGAAATTTTTGAAATTTTTGAAATTTTTAGAAATTTTAGAAATTTTAAAAATTTTGACATTCTTGACATTCTTGACATTTTCAACATTTTTGATATTTTTAACATTCTTGACATTTTACAGATTTTTTACATTTTTGATATTTTTGACATTTCTGAAATTTTTGAAATTTTTGAAATTTTTGAAATTTTTGAAATTTTTGAAATTTTTGAAATTTTTGAAATTTTTGAAATTTTTGAAATTTTTGAAATTTTTGAAATTTTTGAAATTTTTGAAATTTTTGAAATTTTTGAAATTTTTGAAATTTTTGAAATTTTTGAAATTTTTGAAATTTTTGAAATTTTTGAAATTTTTGAAATTTTTGAAATTTTTGAAATTTTTGAAATTTTTGAAATTTTTGATATTTTTGAAATTCTTGAAATTTTTTACATTTTTGATGTTTTTAACTCTTTTGAAATTTTTTACATTTTGAGATTTTTGACATTTTCAAAATTTTTGACAATCTTGAAATTTTTTACATTCTTGACATTATTTATATTTTTGACACTTTTGACAGATATTGTGATTATTTGTTGACACTGTTGACGAAGTAAAGTTCTGATGAATTTTTGTAAATTTATATGAAATTTCTAAGGATTTCCTATGAAATAACTTAAAATTTTATTGGAATTTCATGAAATTTTATGGTGGAATTCAGAAAAATTTCATGAAATCTTTCAGTGGAATTGCATGAAATCTAGGGGAGTTCAGAAAAATTTTGTGAAATCTTATAGTGAAATTGTGACGAATTTTTGTAAAATTACATGAAATTCTTGAAAAGTTCCTGTAGTAGTAGAATGAAATTTTATGGTGGAATTTAGAAAAATTTCATAAAATCTTCTAGCGGAATTGCATGAAATCTAGTAGAATTTTAAAAAATCTGATGAAATCTTCTAGTAAAATTCTGATGAATTTTTGTAAAATTACATGATATTTCTGAGGAATTCTTATGAAATATCTTCAAAATTTCGTGGGATTTCATGAAATCTTATGGTGGAATTCAGAAAAATTTCATGAAATCTTCTAGTGGAATTAATGAAATCTAGTAGAATCAAAAAATTTAATGAAATCTTTTAGTAAGTGGAATTGCATGAAATCTAGTGGAATTCATAAAATTTGATGAAATTTTCAAGTGGAATTGCATGAAATCTAGTGGAATTCAAAAAAAAATTATGAAATCTTATACATAGTAAAATTCTGATGAATTTTTGTAACATTACATGAAATTCCTGAGGAATTCCTATGAAATTGCTCCAAATTTTAGTGGAATTTCATGAAATTTTATGGTGAAATTAAGAAAATTTTCATGAAATCTTCTAGTGGAATTGCATGAAATCTAGTGGAATCCAGGATAATTTGATAAAATCTTTTAGTAAAATTCTGATGAGTTTTTGACATTTTTGACAGATATTGACAAATAATGTTTTTTTTTTTTAGATTGTTGACAGATTAATTTTTTTGACATTATTGACAGATATTATTGTCTATTGACATTGTTGACAAATAATATTTCTCTTTACACTGTTGGCATTTTTTTTTCACATTGTTGACAAATACTATTGTCTATTGACACTGTTGACAGATTTTTTTTCCTGAAACTGTTGATAGATATTAATGTCTATTACACTGTCGACAGAATTTTTTTTGGACACTATTGAGTTTTTTCTAAATATTGACACTATTGACAGATAATGTTGGTACATATTTGACACTTTTGGCAGATATTTTTTTGACATTATGACAGTAATATTGGTTGATACTATTAACAAAAATTGTTTTTTGTCACTATTCCCAGATATTGTCTATTGACATTGTTGCCAAATATTGTCTATTGACACTGTTAACCGATAATGTTTTGACTTTTTTGACGGATATTGTCAATTGACAGATGTTTGTTGACATTGTTGACAGATATTATCTATTGACACTGTCGACAGAAATTGTTTTTTGGCACTATAGATAGATATTTTTTAATCATTTTTGACAGATAATGTTCACAGTGTTGACAGATATTGTTTTTTGACAGTATTGACAAATATTTATTTTGACTTAATGACAGTAATGTGTGCTGACACTGTTGAAAGAAATTGTTTCTTGATATTATTAACAGATATTGTCTAATGACACTGTTGACACAAATTGTGTTTTGACAAATTTTGTTGACAGATACTTTTTTTTACATTTTGGACAAATATTGTCTATTGACATTGTTAACAAATTTTGTGTTTTTTCAAAATTTTTGACAGACATTGTTTATCGACATATAATATGTGTTGACACTGTTGGCAGAAATAGTTTTTTGACACGTTGACAAATATTGTTTGTAGACACTATTGACAGATACCGTTTTTTGTAATTTTTGACAGATAATGTTTATTGACACTTTTCATGGATATGTTTTTTTGATACTCTTGACAGATATTGTCTATTTATTGGTAATTTTGAGAGATGATATTTTTTTTGAAATTTTTGACAGATAGTGTCTTTAGACAAATATTGTTTGTTGAAATTGATGTCAGAAATTGTTTTTTGACATTATTGACAAATATTGTCCGTGACACTGTTGACAGATATTGTCTATTGACACTGTTGACCGACACTGTTTTTCAACAGTCATGACAGGTAAATATTGTTTCTTGACACAGTTGACAAATATTGTCTATTGACACATACTTTTTTTTGACATTTTTGACAAAAATTGTTTATTGACAAATAAGGTTTATTGACATTGTTGACAGATATTGTCTATTGATAGAAAAGGTTTGTTGACACTGTTAAGAAAACTTGTTTTTTGACACCGTTGACAAATATCGTTTGTTGACACTGTTGACACATTGTTTTTTTGACAGATATCCTTTGTTGACGCAATTCGTTTTTTTGAACTATTGACAAATATTGTTCGTTGACACTGTTCACAGATACTGTTTTTTTTTTGACAGTCTATTGAGAAATAATGTTTGTTCTGTTGACATTATTGACAGAAATTGTTTCTTGATACTTTTGATAGATATTGTCCATTGACACTGTTGATAGATATTGTTTTTTTTTGACATTTTTGACAGTTATTGACTATTGACAAATAATGTTTGTTGACACTGTTGACTGATATTGTCTATTGACATTGTTAACAGATATTGTTTATTGACACTGTTGACAGATATTGTTTATGGAAACTGTTAACCGATAATGTTTTTTTGACATTTTTGACAGACATTGTCTATTGCCAAATAATGTTTGTTGACACTGTTAACAAATAATGTTTCTTTTTGACACTGCTGACAGATTTCCACTTCTGACAGTTATAAATTGTCATTTTTAGCTTACGTCAAACCGTCGGAACCGCAAAGTCTACTGAACAAGGCGAAAAGTACTTGGTTCGTGATCGGCGGTACCATTATCGGGGTACTGGTCGTTTTACTGGTACTGGCGTTTGTTATTTTGGGCGCGGCCAAAAAGCGGCGGCCGCAGGACCAGCAGGTCGTTGGCGCGGAGAACAGGTGAAGAATTCTCAGTTCTATTTTTTTTTATAAATTCTCAGTACTTTCGCAGTACTTTTCTTCATTTAGAATTTTCAATACTCTATTTTTTACATTGGAATTCTCAGTACTTTTTATTTGGAATTTTCAGTACTTTTACTCAGACTCTTCAGTACTTTTTATTCAGAATTTTCAGTACTTTTTATTCAAAATTCTTAGTACTTTTCTTCACTTAGAATTTTCAGTACTTTATTTTTATTTGGAATTCTCTGTACTTTATTTTTTAATTTGGAATTCTCGGTACTTTTTATTTGAAATTTTCAGTACTTTTTATTTAGAATTCGCAGTATTTCATTCGAAATTTTTTAGTATTTTTTATTTGAAAATCTCAGTACTTTTTTATTGGAATTCTCAGTACTTCTCATTGGAAATTCTCAATAGGTAATAATTTGGAATTCTCAGTTGCTACCATTTGAAACTTGCAATACCATTTGATATTTTCAGTATTATTTGTAATTCCCAGGACTATTTGAAGTTCTTAGTACTATTTATTTGAAATTTTCACTTTCATTTTTGGAATTTTCAGTACTAGTAGTAAGAATTCTCAGTACTATTTATCTGAAATTTTCGGTACCATTTGATATTCTTGGTACTTTGACTATTTGAACTCAATAATATGTAAAATTTCCAATACTATTAAAAATTCCCAGTCAGTTCTATTCGGAATTCCTAGTACTTTTTATTCGGAATTCGCAGAATTTTCTACCTGGAATTCTCAGTACTTTTCATTTGGAATTATCATTACTACTTGAAATTCCTAGTCAGTACCTTGAAATTTCCAGTACCTGCTTGACATTTGGAATTTCCAGTACCATTTAGAATTTTCACTGTTATTTAAAATTTAGTACCATTAAAAATTCTCGGTACTATTTTGGAATTTACAATATTATTTTGGAATTCACAGTACCATTTTTTGTAATTCTCAACTCTATTTAAAATTCTCTTTATTATTTAAATTTCATAGTACTTTTTGGAATTTTCAGTACTAGTATGGAATTCTCAGTACCATTGGGAGTTTTCAGTATTAGGTATTTTGAAATTCTCACTATCATTTTAGAATTCTCAGTACTATTTTAGAATTCACAGTACCATTTTGGAATTAAAAATCTTATTGGATTGAAACTCAGTACCATTTAAAAATTTTAATACTATTTCGAATTCTCACTGTTATTTAAAACTTTCAGTATTATTGAGAATGTTCAGTACTATTTTAGAATTCACAGTATTATTTGGAAATCTCAATATTATTTTGGAATTCTCATTATTATTTGAAATTATCAGTACTTTTTGGAATTCTCAGTACTATTGGGAGTTTCCAGTACTATTTTCAAATTCTCAGTACTATTTTAGAATTCACAGTACTATTTGGAATTTTCAGTATTATTTTGGAATTCACAATACCATTTTTAAAAATTCTCAGTACTATTTGGAATTCTCATTATAATTTAAAAAATCTTAGTACTTTTTGGAATTTCCAGTACTAGTATGCAATTTTCAGTAATATTACGAGTTTCCAGTACTATTTTGAAATTATCAGTACCATTTTAGAATTCACAGTACTATTTGGAATTTTTAGTATTATTTTGGAATTCACAGTACCATTTTTTCAAATTCTCAGTACTATTTAAAATTTTTACTATAATTAAAAAATATTAAAATTTTTTGAAATTTCCAGTACTAGTATGGAATTCTCAGTACTATTAACAATTTGCAGTACTATTTTGAAATTCTCAGTACCATTTTAGAATTCACAGTACTATTTGGAATTTTCAGTATTATTTTGGAATTCACAGTACCATTTTCTCAAATCCTCAGTACTATTTGAAATTTTTATTATCATTAAACTAGTACTTTTTGGAATTCTTAGTACTATTGGAAATTTCCAGTACTATTTTGAAATTCTCAGTATCATTTTACAATTCACAGTACTATTTGGAATTTTCAGTATTATTTTGGAATTCACAATATATTTTTTTTCAAATTCTCAGTACTATTATTTGAAATTCTTATTATCATTGAATTTCAAATAGTACTGAGAATCCAATTTTCCGTAGGCGACACGTCTTCGAACGAGGCGCAGGGTACGAGAACAAGGGTTTGGTACAAGACGAGGCCTTTACAAGCCCTTCCCCCACTTACCTTCACTTTGGAGATCGCCACCAGGTGGTTCTGAGGCCTCAGAGTTCTCTGAGCAGCTCGACCAACTCTTCCCTCGAAATTTCTCTGAGCCGAAAACCATTGAAAAGGCCCAGAGCGGCTCAGAACAAAACTGTCCCGTTGCGATTGCCCGTCGATGTTTTCGATTCTTCGGAAAGTGACGTTTCGAGAAAAAAAGAAGAGAAATTTTTGGGGAATTTTGAGACGGCAGTTGTCAGTCCGAAGAGTTTCTTGTCCATGCCCAGTGTCAAGAGTTTTCCAAGGTAAGTTTTTTTTTTTTCAATTTGTTTTTCGTTTTTTTTTTTTAATTGTTCTTTATATTTTTCCAGTTTTTCAATTTTTTCATTTTTTTTTTTTTTTTTGTCTTTATTTTTCCAAATTTTTTATTTTATTTTTTGTTTATTTTTTCATTTTTAAAGTGAAATTTTCCCAAAAAAGTCGAAAAATGTAAGAAAAACAAAACAGTTGACATAAATTCAAAAAAAAAATTAAAAAGAATTCAAAAAAATAAATGAAAAAGTTGTAAAAATCCTAAAAAATCGAAAAACCATAAATCGGATTTTCGTGATTTTTGAAATTTTTTATGATTTTTAAAAATTTTTGAGATTTTCTGAAGAATTTTGTGAATTTTCATGATTTTTGTGGATTTTCATAAATTTTTGCAATTTTCGATATAAATTTCAAGTTAAAATAATGGCATTTGGCAGGTACAATCTCCTACTGTCAAATTGAATTTTGACGGCTAATATAGAAGTTACGATTTTTCTGTTACAAAAATTCCAATTTAAGTGGATATTAAATAACATTCTGTCAAAACAATGGTATTTGACAGATGTCAATTTTTTTTATAATCTATAATTGTCAAATAAAATTTTGTCATCCAATATAGAAATAACGATTTTTTTGTAACAAAAACTTCAATTGAAATGGACATTAAATGATACTTAATTGTCAAAAAATTTAATTGTCAAAAAATCTCAATTGTCAAAGAATTTTCTTAAAATTTCAATTTCAATCCAATTTTTTTCAAATTTCAATCTGATTCTTCGAATTTTTTTTTTTTTTCTCAAAATTTCAATCTCTTCTCAATACAAAATTTCAATCCGATATTTCAAAATTTTAATTTGATTTTTCTCAAATTTCAACCCGATGACTTTTTATTTTATTTTTTCAACTTTTTTTCATTTTTTCACTTTTTTGATTTAAATCAAATTGTTTTGTTTTTTTTTTTTTAAATTTTTCGACTTTTTTGGGAAAATTTTAGTTTTTTTCCAAATTTCACTTAAAAAATGGAAAAAATTTGTGCATCGTGATTTTTAAAAATTTCCATGATTTTTGTGATTTTTGTTAATTTCTAGAAAATCAAAAAATGATAAAAATTTACAAAAATTATAAAAATTTAAGAAAAATATAAAAAATTACAAAAATTCGAAAAAATCATAGAAATCAAGAAAATCAACAAAATTACAAAAATCACGGAAATCATAAAAATTTCCAAAAATCATAAAAATGTCCGAAAATCACAAAAATCATGAAAATTTACACAAATCATGGAAATTTACAAAAATCACAAAAATCATGAAAATTTCTAAAAATCATAAAAATGTACAAAAGGATTTTGGAAAATCACGAAAATCATAAATAAAATTCATAAAAATTTCCAAAAATTTCAAAAATCATGGAAATTACCAAAATTCATGAATTTCCGAAAATCTCAAAAATTTTCAAAAATCATAAAAATTTACAATTACAAAAATTTCCAAAAATCACAAAAATCATAAAATTTTTCGAAAATGTCAAAAATTTTCAAAAATTATTCAAATCTTCAAAAATCACAAAAATTTTCAAAAAACCACAAAAATCATAAAAAAAATTTCAAAAATCATAAAAATTTCGAAAAATCAC